GCACCTTCAACCAACACTTACACCCATCACTTCAACCACTTGCAAGTAATGCCAAAGAAATGTGTATAAAACACTGCATTAGGTACGGTACATTATATACTACTAGGGGGCCGCCCGTCTGTTGGTCGAACGTGTAAATCTTGAAACAAGTTCTAGTCGGCCTGCTTAGGTAGTCAGCCGCTAACTGATGAGAACATAGGTATCTAATTCTGCCTACATCACATGAAAATACATTCGGGAGGTAAGTAGCGTATGCAATTTAATTTAATTAAAAACTATCCGTGATAAACCGTCCCCGTATCTCATTTTCCCTTGTCGTCCGCTCATAAATACATGTGGCTTATAGGTAGCCGTAGCCATGACCATAGCAATACAGCTCTCAGAAGGGGGTGGCGTGTGAAACCAAGCCGCTAGAAATAACCATCGCTGTAGCTAGTACATCTTGTCCACCGGCTCTACCTAGTTAATATCGAACAGGGACTTAAGCTTGATGATAAGCGCCCACTCGTCGTTCGTCACTTCTTTTCTGTAGAATTCCTTCAGGCAGTCGATACTGGCACGCGAAATCAAGCTGTACAGCTGGTCTGTCTCTTCTAGTTGTCGACCATATGTCGGCTGGTGGCCGCCCATCTCGATCTTGACTGCTACAGAGGGTTGGCCCTTCTTGCAAATTGGAATCTGCTTATGATCTCTTTCGATCGATGATCTGCAAATGACTTGTCAGTTCCAGAGGGAGCAAAGGGGGTGCTTGGCTAATGTGATGGAAGGATGAACTTACACTCGGCCCATGCTAATAACTTCTTTGCCCGTGGGTCCTTGTCTCACAGCAGCTATAGGTGTGCCAACTCGGAGGTTACCATCTATCACATCAACACCCACGACAATGGGGTTAGTCTTGTTGAAAACCGCCACGGTGTTGAGGACGCAGGGGAATACGGCAAGCAGCTTCGACTCTTCCTTCTTCTTCTCGAGCTGCTCCTCCATGTGCTTCGTGAAGGCGTCAAACAGATGGTAAATAATGTCGGCAGTGAAGATCTTAATCCCGTTCTCCTCAGCATAGGCCTGAGCCTCCTTATCTACCTTAACGTCGAAACAGAGCATGACAGCATAGTCGGGACTCTTCTCCAGCATCGTACCACACTGCATCACATCACGCTTGAAGACAGGTCCGATACCAACGTTGGCTACGGGAATCTTGCAGTCCTTCAAGAAATCGAGGAGGGCTTCAAGCGAACCCAAAGTTGACGCCTGTACGCTCACACCTCGTCCAGATGTTGATACACGGCTAAACAGCTTGTTCAGATCTGCTTCAACTTCTTCTTCCAAGTCTTCCTCGTCATCATCAGGTCCGACCACGAGCAATCGGGAACCAGCAATAGCGCCTTCGAGACCAGGTGCGCTTATCTTAACACCCATGGCTGCCTTCACCTCCTTATTGTGTACATATTGTGACTTGACACGCAGCTCTTTCATGACTGCAGGAGTAAGCAGCGCTCGAATGTTCGTAGTGATGGCTCCTTCAACACCACACACTACTATGCGGTCGCCTTCCCGGAGAATACCGTTGGACAGGATGACATCGATGGTCATACCGAAACCCTCGATTGCCTTCACTTCGAGAACGGTGGCTTGGACCTCCGAGAGGTACATGAGCGAACCAACCATCCTTTCCTGAGTCAACTGTACGATGAGCTTCAACATATCCGGGATACCTTCTCCCGTGTGAGCGGAGGTTGGAACCAGTGAGACGTATCGGGCCATAGACTTGTTCTCGTAGAAAACCTCGGCATTGAATCCTTGTTCGGAAAAGGCGAGTTTAGTCTGCTCCAATCGGTTCCTGAATTCGTTCTGTACACCCCGGTTCTGAAGGGCCAAACTCTCTTGGAATCCATTGTTGTCGACCTTCTTCCAACCGTACAGACGATCAATCTTGTTGAGTGCGACAATGAAAGGTGTCTTCCGGTCGCGGAGCAGCTTCATCGATTCAAGGGTCTGAGGCTCAAGACCGTGCATGATATCGACCACTAAAATGGCAATGTTGCAAAGCGAAGAACCTCTGGAACGTAAGTTGGAGAAAGACTCGTGACCAGGTGTGTCGATGATCAGAAGACCCGGGACCTTTAGTTCGAACTTCCCATCCTGGTTAACAACGGCGGTCTTCTGCTTGATAGCCTCACCTAGAAGAATATTAGTAGGCGATCACTAAACTGTAGAAAAAGGGGATTGATACAGACCTGGGAAATACGTGGCACCGATCTGTTGTGTGATACCACCAGCTTCTCCTTCTTGAACGTTTGTTTGCCGAATCTTGTCCAGCAGTTTTGTCTTTCCCGTATCGACGTGACCCAAGATACAGCAGATAGGGCTGCGAAGGTTCTCCTTGGATCTCGCGGCCAGAGCAGCCTGGTGGGCTTTCTCTCTCCGTTCGGCAGCCTCCTTCTTGCGCTTGGCCTCAGCAGCTCGACGAGCAGTTACCTCCTCATCTTCAGAGGATTCCTCCTCTGATTCGGATTCAGACTCGGCTTCCTTGGCCTTGGCCAATGCTTTAGCGGACTCCTTCGCAGCAGCTTTCTTTTCGGCTTCTTCATCTGAATCGGCGTCCCAGCTGTCCTTCACATCATCACCTGAAGCTGCGGCTGCCTCCCAATCTTCCTCGACTTCTTCCTCTTGCTGAGCTTTCTTGGCGGCTTCCTCAGCAGCAGCCTGGGCAGCAGCTTCCGCTGCGGCCTTTTCTTCAGCCTCCTTGGCCGCGGCCTCGGCTTGTATTCTCGCCCGCTCGGCAGCTTCGGCTAAAGCCTTTTCTTCATCCACCTATGAAAAGGTTAGCAAAACCAACTACTCAAGCAAGACACAAGCGTGGGTTGGGGGACAACAACCTTTTGGTCATTCTTCTTGGCCCTCTTCTTGTCATAGGTGACTTTCTTCTTCTTTTCCTCGCCGTCTTCCGAAGGCCCGACCTGAAGGCCAGCATTGATCATTTGCTGTAGCTTTCTCTCGTTACGAGCCTTCTCTTCCTTCTGAGCCTTGGTCAGATACTTTCCTTCTTTCTTCAGCTGTTCGATCCTCTCCTTTTCCTTCTGCTTTTTACGGGCCCTCTCTTCTTCCTTTCGCTTCTGCTCTTCGGCTTCCTGCCTCTCGAGCTCTGCTAGGCGGGCTTTTTCGCTTTCAGCGGCTTTTTCAGCTTCTTCACGCTGCCGCCGTAACTCCTCCTGCTGCTTTTGAATGGCGGCCAGATGAGGTGGAAGCTTTTTGCCTTTCTTTGCTGGAGCCTCTGCAGCGGGCGCCGGAGCGGGAGCTTCCTTCTCTTCGACGGGGGCTTTGGCTGGTTCTGGGGCCTTCGCAGCAGGCGCAGGTGCGGGTGCTGGCGTCTTTTTCTTCGCAGCCTAGACAAGGGAGCAAAATGTTAGAACTCGAAGCCAATCGACGCGTATGATAGGTAGTACCAACCTGTTCCTTTTTCCTTTGCTTCTCCCTCTCTTTCTTCAGCTTCTCTTTCTCGGCCTTAGTGAGCATCCTGCCCGAGTCGGCATCATCGCCATCAGCAGCGGCGGCGGGGGTCGCTTTGGCAGCAGCTTGGTTCTTGTTCTGCTTCCCTCCCTTCCCCTTCTTCTCAGGCAGAGCGAACTCATCTTCCGCTGTCGCTTCTTTAGGCGCTTGGAAGGCGGTGATGTCTGTGGGCTCAGGGGTTGCGGGTTGTGCTCCGTCGCCGAAGTTCTCGGACAAGCCCTTCTTCTTGCGCCTTTCCATGGCTTTCTTCCTTATGGCCATGAGACCTCCGACGGGCGCATCATCTTCCTCGGCCGGCTCTGCTGAGTCGGCCGGCGGGGCGTCCGCAGCGGCGGCAGTGGCATCGCCATTGGTGGGTGCAATGCTCTCACCAAGATCGGCTTCCCAATCGTCAGCAGCCTTTTTGCCTCCCTTCTTTTTCGGCGGCATCTTGAAGGCTTGCTGGATCCGTGGCTAAGCAGCGTCGAGGAAGGATACTGAAAGAGTCTTGCTACACAGTGAAGTGCAGTAGAATTGAATGGGTTGTTGAGAAGAACGTGTCTTCGATCGTGTCGTGCCGGACCAGATGTCTGCTGTTCACCTAGCGAAATAGGCAAGGCAAGGCAAGACAAGGCAACGGTACGCAGGGTGACGAGTGCGATGTCTAGGTAGACGACCGAAGGGAGAGAGACACGGAAACTAAGGATAGATTGGTACGAGAGATGGATATTTTAGAATCATGTCCCAGAGAAAGTCCCGAAACATGGCCTGCTTCCTTCTGACGCTTATCTCCGAAGGGCGAATAGAGGCAAAAAGAGACTGCACACTAGAGAAAGAAAAAGACGTGCTGCGCTCTCTCACTGGATGTTGCGAGGGACGAGAGAGGGTCTACTTGTATGTACTTTATGTGCAGTAGTGGGGGATCATTTAGTGGTAGTGGGATTTGGTTTGGTGGTAAACCTAGTGGCGTTGGCCGATGTGGGAGAGTTCCAGGCAGCTAAGCATTTAGGTTAGCCGACTCGGAATCTGATGACGCTGCGGGGAGCGATTTACACAATTTAGTGGGTGAATTCGTTTTTGTGAAATGCTTGTTGAGCACATGACGGGAGACATTCTCAGGTCCAACGTTGTCGGATTAAACACCAAAAGTCCGAGCGGCCAAAGTGCCGATAAGGAGTTAAGCGAGCAATGGCGGGGCTCTTATCGCACCTATCGATAGAGTATTGATGAGTGTGCAGTCTCAAAGAATTAACAGTGATTCCCAGAGACAAGATCGTGACCTTTGTAATAAACTTTCAGGTTCCTTAGTGTGGTCAACTATATATACATACATATATACCCAGTATATTGGACTACTGCTCCATAGATCCAGAGACAAAGAGGTAAATGTAAAAGTCTCCTCTAGGAAAAAGTGAAAGAAACGGTAAAAATCACAAGCAACCCCTCCACCCCACCAGAAATACCTTCACGGCAAAAATAAAACCCAGCCCAGTCTAGGACACCAAAAGATGAATCTCCGAATCGGGGAATCGAACCCCGGGCTTGACGGCACACCATAGTATAATGAGAGCGTCAAATGTTAGCCACTACACCAATTCGGATTGGAAGAAACATGAAGTGAATATAAGCGACCTCGGCCGGACTCGAACCGACAATCTCTAGAGGTTTCAATGATTTGGTACCTAAGCACCGCCACCGAAATCTAGCGCCCTAGCCATTAGGCCACGAGGCCGGTTGATGGTAGGTGATGCTGAATAGTCTTATCAAGGGAATGGTGGGTGGATGAAAATGGTGAGTGGGTGAGTGGGTAGAGGAGTTGTTTGGTTGATTGGTTGATTGGGTTGTCTTGTGGGAGTGGAGATAAGGTGTAGGAGGGCGAAGGGGGGTAGTTGTTACACTAGTTCCAGCCAGTCGGGTGGATAGATAGATAGTTGAATCGCGTGGCTCTATGTGGTAAAATTATTACAGTTGGTGCTGTTGCAGTGTAGATTGTGTGGTTGGTGATTGATTGGTTTGCTGGGACGGCAGATCCGCCAACAAGAGAGAACAAAGCACCGGAAATCTCACTACGTAGTACACTGCATTTATACCAGGCTGTCTTGTCTAACAAGCTCATCAGGTGTTTTACTCATTATGTTATCGTCTTCAGGAATACCTAATAACGAATAAGAACTATCGACTCAGTTCTGTTGAGTCTCAATATATTTACTGTCAACTCCTGCAAGGCGTATCCTGCACATCGCTACTATGTTATTAGGAAGCATCATCTACCCAATCATGTATACCTAGCTGCCACTGCGCTCGAATGAAACAGTTCAATTTCAATTCTACTTTTTAGAAATTACACAAAAACAAATGTCATATTTATGAACATACCCGATTCCGGATAAGGTCTATCTTTGACTCTGCAGCCGGCCTCGTGTACTGACTGTTATTTGAGCGGCCGTAGTCTATCTCTAACACCGCAATATCGCAATATCCGGTCGGGATGAGAGCAAAACAATCCCATCTTCCCAAGCCATCATCAAAATATCCATCCTATGCCCATTCCATTGCAGTCATTACTTTACTTTTTTTAAGATACGTCAACACATGGGCTTCGGCTTCGCCTTCGCGCTCTTGGGTCGACGAACCGTGTACCCCGCTCAACCCGGGTCCTCAGATTAAACTTCTAGGACTGAGGCTCCTCAACCTCGGGCTTAGGGGCATCCGCATCCGTCATCTCCTCGTCTTTGTTGCTCTCACCCTTCGCCTGTTCAGCTGCTTTACGGGCTTCCTCCTCGGCTGCCTTCTTGGCGGCCGCCTCGGCGTCAAGCTTGGCCTGTAAGGCTTGGCGATCGGCCTCTACCTTGTCGAAGTATCTCTGGGTGATAGGACCGGCCATAGCACGGATCTCGTCTATCTTGGCGACATAGACAGCCTTTGTGGTATCTTCACCCTCCTCATAAAGCCAGTCCTAACGGTAAAAGGTCAGCCGCACGGCATCGGGAAGATGGATAAGCACCCCAAAAAGGAACTTACCTCGCTTTCGGTGAGTTTCGCCCTCAGCTTGTCCTTCTCTTCTTCGCTAGCAAAGTCGGCGAGCTGATCGTCCAGCTTGTTGCGCATATCGTAAATGTAGGTCTCGAGCTCGTTCTTCTTCTCTTCAGTGTCGGCCACGAGTTTATCTTCCATAATCATAGCTGCCTCCTTCTCGAATAGAGCCGCCTTGGTGTTGGCATCGAGAGAAGTAGTTCCAGCGACAATAGGTAGATCGCCCTTACGAACTTGCTTCTTAACCTTTCGTGTCTTGGGTTTGCCCTCCTCCTTCTTCTCATCGGTCTCCATGGCCTAAGAGGAACACAAGTCAGTTACACGTTACATCCGCCAATAGTTGCAGTGTAACAGAAGTGTAGTAGAACGATCAAAGGAAACTCACATCAGCATCTTTCTTCTCGCCATCATCTTTCTTGTCTTCCTTAACCTCCTCCTCAACTTCTTGGTCTTCGACGTAATAACCACTCTCTACATTCAGAATGCCATGGATATTAACCCTCGCCTTGAGCTTGCAGATCATGAATTCCGTCTTGGGATCTGCCTTAACCCCCTTGACTGAGAAGCGGCCGATGAAGGGAGATATCTTGCCGGGAAGGTCCTTGGGTTCCGAGTATCGGGCCTCTAGATCGAAAGGCTGCTTTCGGTAGAAGGTTAGGATTTTAGTGGAAGGCAGGACATTGCCCCTGCCGAAAACAGTCAAGCTAGTATCCTCGTCAGGGATGTCAACGTCCTTTTCCCACGAAAACTCGATCGGGTAGTGGACAATATCCGCGACAGAGAAATCGCGAACCTTGAAGACGGGCGACAGGATAGCACAAGCAAAAGCGCAGCCTCGAGCAATGGCCTCGTCCTGGTTGAGAGTGAACGAGAGACCTTTGCCGAAGAAAGCCTGGATTCTCTCCTTGATAGCTGGCACACGAGTGCTGCCACCGACGAGTTCGATGAAATCGACATCGTCCTTGGTTATTCCAGCATCGGCAAGAGCCCGCTCTAGTGGTGCCGTGACCTTGTTCAGGAGCGGTTCGACCAACGCCTCAAATTCTTGCCGTGTCACCATAGCGTTGACATCGATATCGTTCATGAGAGACTCAATGTTTAGAGGAGCCTGTTGGTTGGCAGACAGGATCTTCTTTAGCTTCTCCGCACCAGCATCGACACGAGCCCAGGCCTTGGGGTTAGACGCAATGTCAATATGGTACTTGCCCTTAAACTCCTTCTGGAAGTGGTTGACTAAGGCCAGGTTGAAATCGCGACCACCGAAGTGGCGGTCGAAGGCGGTTGATTTGACCGACAGCTCGCCCTTCTTGAACTCGACAATAGAGCATGAGTAGTTGCTGTGGCCAATATCAATGAAGCAGACACGGCGCGGCTTCTCCTCCGGGCCGGGCAAATCAAGCTTTGTGATACCGTAGCCCAAAGCGGCCGCAGTGGTATCATTCATGATCCGAAGAGGCTTGAGACCGGCGATCTCGGCAGCGTCCAGAATGCTCCGTCGCTGGATGTCGGTAAACCACGGCGGCACGCTCAGGACAACATCAGCCACGGGTAGCTTCAACTCGGCAGCAGCGGTAGCCTTGACCTTGCTCAGGAACATGGCAACAAGTTGAGTGGCACTGAACTTCTCCTTCTTGCCCTGGTACGAAACTTCGGCGCCAACCTGGCCACCGCAGTCCACGAGGGCGGCCGAGACATACTGCGCCTCGATCTGGACATCGGGGTCTTGGAGGGCGCGTCCAGCCAGACGCTTGAGGGAGCCTACGGTGTTCTTGAGGTTGGAGATTTCTTGGGTCTTGGCCGGCTCGCCTATGTAACGGGCCCTGGGGCCGAATCCAACGAGGGAGCTGAGCAAAAGTTAGCGGGAGGGAAAGTAGCTATCGCGAGCTAGGCGGGGTAACACTTACGGCGTCGCACGGTTAGAGACTTCATTGGTGATCTAATAACCCAAATGACCTGTCAGCCTTACGAACAGGAGCTACAGCATTATACAACGGATGGGGGAGAGCGGAAGCATGACAGGGAGTTACGTACGACATCGACGCCTCGATTCCTCGCAACAGCAATAACTGTGTTGAGCGTTCCGAAATCGACACCTGGATGACGCTAATGTTAGTAAACAGAAGCACACGCAGCGGCCAGGCGCAAGAGCACCCGAGCGAGGAGAGGTAACATACCAACAACGCTCATCTTGCCTGGGTAGATGTAACAACTGGGTGTAGTTTGGTTGCACGGAAGGCTGCTGAGGATCGATGTAGGGGGGGGATGGAGGGGCTAGAAGAGATGTCGGCGATAAACAACAGAGCAGCTCGAAAAGAAAGATGCCAGGCTCTCGGGCGGTGAGGGAATGGTCGGAAGAGGGCGGGGGAGTCTATGTCCAGTCGTCTGCGGTTTGCGGCACTTCGTACGCTTTCTAAGGTAGTGACTACCTAGCACGACAGAATAGAATATAAAAGCGATTCTCTTATAATGAGGTGTAGGAAGAAAAATAAAAGCTGCCCAAATGCGCACTGTAGGTGTAGACTGCCTGTACCTAATAATAAGGTGGGAGAGGGAGGGACAGGCGGGACAGGTCTGTCTGTGGCCGAATTTCTGCGTAGTCTAGCCTCACCCGGCCGACCCACTTACCCCTCTTTAGCCACACACCTCCCTTGGCAGGGGCGTGCACTGTAGTAGTTGCTCCGGCGCGAAACTTCTAGAGGCTTCAGGTAACTGCCAGCAAACAACAAAGAACATGCAGACAATCCAAAACATTCCCAGCGCATGCGGATCACCCTTTAGCTAATCCCAGCATCTAGGTTCTTACCTACTCCCCTTACATATTCTGTTCCCAAATTTGTTAAAGTCATGACCCAGCCTTGTCTACCTGCCTACCTAGGTATATATCAAATCACAACAGTACACACAATACTAGGTGATATCTACAAAACGTCATGTTCCACTAAGTCTGTACCTGACTCTCTACTGCCACACCTTGAACTTTCAAGGTGCACTAAGAGCAAAAAAGACTTTTCATTATCTAAGGCACAAGATTAATTGTTTGCTATCTTGTCACGTGTCCTGTCACACCCTCTCAAAGCAAATGACTACTAGAAACACCCCTCTCAACCACCCCCTTATCACCCCGCCTTCAGCTGTTATCGCTGTCGCTTTTCCAACACAGAAACGGATGGTGGGGTCATACGTCAAAAAACTTGCAGCTTGCTATCTGAATTTTCCCTCCTGACCGCCCGCCCCGCCATCAAGCAAAAAATAGTATCATACTTCTACACTATTTACCTAACCTATACGTAGACTATCCGGGTGCCTGGCGAGCCCTGGGTGTGTGTGTGTCAGGAAGCATTGTTTCGAAACTACTAGATGAGTCTCATGTTTCTCACCTTCACCTCTCAGAACATCCGTCTGGTGAGGAAAGTGGGGATAAAAGACATGTGTCAATATCTTCTTAGACGAGAGGGTTTTCATTATAACCCAGGTTATAAGAGGCGTAGCTATTAAGAAGAAATGTACCTGATTTGGTCATCATCACGGCCCAAAGGGGCATGACGCAATATACTAGATGAAAACTTAGGAGAGCAGGCAAATCAAGTAATTGCCAGTTTACCTTATCATTCAGCTTCAGTTGTGAGGTTACGTGGAGAGAAAGAGAGGACAATAGAAGATTCTCCAGTATCGCCACGAGAGGACAAATCACACGCGTCT